ATGGGTATTATAGCACAACAAATGGAATTCACTCTGCAAGACTATCTCAAATTCCAAATAGTTTGAGTCAAGGTAAAGACAAATAAGCCTCGGGCATGGAAGGAACAAATTCTAAAAAGAAGTTCTTGCAAGAAGAAATAATATTATCCTATAAGATACACAAACCTAAACATTTTTTTCCAACATTCAATGGAGAAGATATGCACAGATGGTTATATAAGTGGACATACTATTTTAAGATTAAAGACATTTATGACTCTAGAAAACTACAAATAACATCATATTATTTAGATGATGTCACTCTTTACTAGCATCAAAAAATTTTAAAGAGCTTGGGAAACCAACTGGTGATTTGGAAAAAATATATGTAAGCTATCTATTACAGGTTTGGAGGGCAACGAGATCCATTTAAGGAGTTGATGTAATAAAAATAATTTAGGTACTTAGAGAAATACATTTAGGACTTCAATATCCTGTGGTATAAGATGGAGATCAATGAAAAACAATTTTTGGTTATTTTTCTGAGAGGTATGGATTTAAAAATCAAAAACACAATGAAAATGCTCAAACTCAAAACCTTTAAACATGCTTATAATCTACCTAGGTTACAAGCCAACACCCTTGCCTACAAGAAATCTCTCAACTTCACCAAGAGATCTTCTACCTTCAACACAACACAACCTTACCAAAATACCCACTCTCATCCATTAAATCCCATAAAGAACTTTATGGTCCCTTATATTACTATAACAAAACCAAACTCTGCCTACTGGAATAATACCCCTTTCAAAAATACTTATAAAACTCATAAAATCTATTAAAAACCAAGAGTTAAAAGAAAGAAGGTTGAAAGGGTAGTGTTTTTGGTGTGATGAAAGATTCATCCCGGGATACATATGTCAAAATAAAAGATTGTATTTTCTAGGTGTAATGAAAGAGGATGAAGGATTTGCAGAGAATAAGGTTTTTGAAGGGGGATTTAAAGTAAGGGAATTGACACCACACATCTCACTAAATGTATTGGAAGGTAGTGAGACTCGATATCATAAAGGTAACTAAAAAGGTGTACAACACGACAATGTGCATTTTGATTAATTCGGAGAGCACCTATAACTACCTTAACTTTATTGTGGCCCTTAAACTCTAGTTTTAGTTAACTATTATTAAGCCAATAATTGTGTAAACAACTAATAAAAAAAGATTATTTACAAGTCTATATACAAGAGACTCAGGTGAAACATAAAAGGGATAAGTTTTATGGGAGATGTGTTTATCATTAAGCTGAGTAATTATAAGATGGTACTGGGTTTACAATGGTTATCCTTGTTAGGATACATATTATTTAATTACAAACACTTGTGGATGTCATTCGATTAGCAAGGGCAGAAGGTATTGTTTAAAGGGGAGAATCTATCCAAATTACAAACCATTGAACTAAAATAACTAAGTTCTCTTGTGAGGAGCCAAAATCAAGTAGTTAGTTATCATTTAAGTAGCTTGCAAATGGTAAAGAAGAATGATGGTTTTATCTCTAGATCCTTGGCTACTCTACCACTGTCCTAAGGTAGTGAGGATGCTCTCTTACAGAGTATCTTAATAACCGACCAAGATTTATTTCAGGAACCAAAAGGGTTGCCACCACTTAAAACCCATGACCATAGAATTCCTCTAATAAAAGGTAATGAGACAATAAATCTCATGTGCTTCCCTAGTTATCCTTGTCAAGAAAAACAACTTCATATAAAGATTATGTGTAGACTATAGAGCTTTGATCAAACTTACTATTAAGGATAAATACCTTATCCTAATTATTGAGGAGTTGGTAGAAAAATTAATTGGGGTTGCTATTTTTTTCAAGATAGATCTTAGATCTAGTTATCATCAAATCTAAATGACCTTAGGAGAAGAATTTAAGATAGTTTTTAGAACACATAGTGGCCACTATGAATTCCTTGTTATACTTATCAGGTTAACTAATGCTCCAGCTATAGTTTAGAGTCTAATGAATAAAATTTTCAAAGAGCACCTAAAAAAATTTATCTTGATATTCTTTGATAATATACTTATGTATAGTCAAATCCTTGTCGACCATTACAAGCATCTAACTATTATCCTTAAATTATTAAGAGGACATCAATTAGTGGCAAGGTTAGTAAATGCTTCTTTTGCAGTAAGTGGGTAGAGTATTTGGGCCACATCATCTCGAAGTAAGAAGTAGATACTAATTCTTATAAGATACAAGCCATTATAGATTGGTCATTGCTTAAAGGATTAAGGCAGTTAAAAAGATGACTTTGTTTAATAGGCTATTATAAAAGGTTTGTTATTGGTTACAATAGCATATGTAAGTCATTAACTCAATTACTAAAGAATGATGTAAGGAGGCCATAAAGGCTCGATCAATTAAAAGAATTAATAACTAATGCTCCAATTCTAGCTCTGCTAGACTTTAACAAACTATTTATAGCAGAGACAGATGTGCCATTGATAGGGGTAGTGTAAAAAACCTAAATTTTAATATCTTATTTCTAAATGCATTGGGAAATTTGATGTGAATTTTTTTTAATATATTCTACCAAAATTTCGACAAAGTCTCTTTTGTATATAGTTTATATCAAGTTATCGACTACACTATCATAATATTATTCAATCATCAATACATCTCAATATGTCATCCAATCAATTTCTTAATATAAGTTCTCTTATCAACAAACATGTCACTTATTCAATTTATACTTAACATGAATTATGTAAATAGAATTTAAATAAATTAAGGGATTTCCAATTAACATAATAATATATGAAATTTACAACTTATTATATCTAGATTAAGATTCAATACATTATAATTTATACAAAAAAGGCATGCTTATGTTCATGCTACTAATATTATATTTTTGTTTCATTACATACCTTTAATAAAAATATTATCCTAAAAGACTCTCAAGCAAGTTGGGTGTACAAAGGTCCTGAGTAGGAGCAATTCTTATGCAATAAAGACATCTAATTGCTTTCATAATCAAGTTTCTAGGGTCAAAATAACAAGTAATGCTAGTCTATAAGAGAGAAATGTCATCCAATCCTACATGTTATTATTAAATGAAAACACTATTTATAGGGATAATATTTTAAGATTAGCATTGATTACATAAGCCTGAAGTACCTCTTACATTAGAAAATGATGACTCTTGTGCAATATTTATAGCTAGTCAATTTCTTAGGTTATGACTAAAACATAGAATACAAATATTAAAGGGATAATGTACTAGCTGATGTCATCTTCAAGATCCCTAGTAAATAAATTTATGGCCCAACCATTTCTATTATTTCAACCAATTTAATAGGTGAAATCAAGAAGACGTATGAGGGATGTCCTACTATACAAGCTATTGTTAAGGATCTACAATTATTGTCTAATTTTCATCCTCATTATACCTAAGTGAATGATCAACTCAACAGGAAAAGGAAAGTGGTTATAGACAGTAACTTAGAGTTAAGAAATAAGCTCATTTTCATGTTTCATAACTTGACTATAGATGGACATTCAGGAATGATAGTGACCTCTAAAATGGTAGGGGGTTTGTTCTATTAAAAAGGCCAACAAAAATACATTAAACAATGCGTCAGAGAATGCAACACCTATCAAAGTAACAAACACGAAAATATAGCTAGTCCTAGACTCTTACAGCCATTAGCCATTCCATTTGTCGTATTCATTAACATCAGTATGGATTTTATAAAAGGGCTTTCAAATTAGTACGGAAAGATGTCATCACAATAATAGTGGATCACTTTAGTAAATAAATGCATTACATGGCCTTAAGTCATATCTACTCCACTCTCTGGGTGGCCAAACTATTCATGAACAACGTATACAAACTGTATGTGTTACTAATTTCTATAAGTAGTGACAGGCACCCGATGTTTCTGAGTAGATTTTGAAAGGAATTGTTTAACATTCAAAGGGTTAATCTGCACTACTCATCAGCATATCAATCATAAATTGATGACGAGATAAAGGTCATCAACAAATGCATAGAACATTACTTGAGGTGTATGACTAGAGACTTCTCTAATTGAGTAAAGTGATTGTTACAAGACTGACTATCATTCTGTTACTAAGATGACTTCTTATGAAGTATAGGTTTAAAACTATATCTACCTCAAGCTGTAACTTTACAGACAATAAGCAGCTATACAGAAATCCTCACAAAAAGTAGCTGCAAAATATTACGTGCCTTACCAGATGATAGCCAAAGTAGGAAAAATGGATTACAAGCTCGATCTGCCTCTTACAACACTGATCCACTCTATGTTCCACGTATCCCAACTCAAGAAGCATGTAGGTAATTGTATAGTAGAAGTGTTCCTTCTATGTTTTCTCAAACTCATAATCTGCAACCAAGAATTAAATCAAAGAAACAAATGACAAGATGTAAGAACTAGACGATCACTCAAGTCCTAATTCATTGGGATGGTCTCTCACCTGCTTATATAACTCATCCTAGTTCATTAAGATGGTCTCTCACTTGCTTATACAACTCGAGAATATATCAATGAATTAAAGTTAAGGTTTCCACAATTCAACCTTCAGAACAAGGTAAAACTCAAGAAGGCTAATTGCTACCGGCCGAAGAAAATGAAGAAAAAGATATTCTTTATTTAAATTCAAATTGAAATAGCTATTACAAGCTCTTTACACACCATTTTAATTGTAGTCAAGGTGCACCCTTTTATCTAGCTAAATAGATTCTTTCTTTTCAGTTGTACATGTTTTGGTCATTCCTTCTCAAGGACCCTTGAACTTTTTGGAAAATAAAATGATTGTGTGCAACAGATTACCTGAAGGTATCCAAGAAGAATACAAATAAAAACCTTATGACTTTTAAGAATTAAGGAAACTAAGAAACCTATTTGTCCTGCTACATTTATGCTCTAAAAGGCAATACTCTCATTCTTTCCCTTGAGTTAACCTACAGTTCTTATCACTAGATTCCCTCTAGCTAGTAACCATTAGTATCCCACCCATAACACTATATTAAGGACATGATATTTAATTGATTTGATTTACAGAGTTGGTGATTTTCAGCTTTTGTATCTCCTGTGCTGTGGATGGAATCATGATAAAGATTTGGCGCTGACTTTGCTGGGTCTGTCATGGGTGGATACGGGCCTTGTATCAAGACTTGTGGCGGATTGTTTGCTCAAGCCCATTATTTGGGCTAGCTGGGAGTGAACCTTTAGTTTCAGCTTTTTTTTTTCTTTTGACCCAAAAGAAAAGTATTTTATACCTTGAAATAGTACTAACTAGTTCCTTCAGGGTTCAGAGTAAAAAACGTCAAAATTCAAACAATCCGAGCGTGTTCCACGTCAGATACTGCAACTTCGGCTCAAGTTCCGGGCATGAACCCGCCTGGACCCAAATCAGATGATCCCCTCCTTCAAAACGGCTCCTCTATCGACCCTAACAAGCTCTCCACCGCCGATGAAACCCTAATCAGAACGAACGACAAAGGCAATCAACAACCGGTGACTCCTGTTCGAGAGAAGAGAAGATTATCGGAAACGGCCGTTGATACGAGTTGGTTGCCACCGGGATGGATTGTTGAAGATCGGGTTCGGAGCTCTGGTGCGACAGCTGGCACCAGAGATAAGGTTAGTTGTAATTCCTTCTCAAGTAATCTGAGCATTTTCTTTTTAAAATTATGTTCCTCTTTTCTGGTGTGATTAATGTATTAATCCTTGCTTACTCTTTGGATATGAAATTTTTTTTTTATTAGCTCAGCTGCTAACTTCCAAATATATGCATTCTGATACTGTTTATTGTACATCTTAGAACAAATCCTATTATAGTAAAATCATTAATTTATAACAATATATTTATTTATTTTTTTGACATATTTAGCCAGTAGAGTTTAGAGCAGAGAATTTGTGGTGAAACTTAATTTTCCAACATTGAAGCATTTGTAGATTTTTTTTTTCTATACCATTCACTGGATTAAATCCGTTAGGCGTTAGAACATTCAATGCTTGCAGCTAATATAAAGACATAGATTAGGCAAATGCATGGGTATTGTAGATTTAAGGATTTTCGTAATACTTTTCAGGGCCGCAATGGAGTGTTTGTCAAAACCTGAGTTGGGTCAAATTGAAATGGGATTTTAGTATTGGATATATAGCCACTTTGAACAGCTACATTCATGTATTTAAGGAACAATAGGTATTATTCATGTCTGTTTGAGCCTATCAATACGTGCTTGACATGGGACATGGTCTTCTTCCTTAGCCATCAAATGCTGTTAGTAGCCCTCTATGTTTAGGATCCAGGATGTGTGTATCATGTTTGAGCTTTATTTTTGCTCTCTTCCCCACTAAAATAAAAGAAAAGAAATGTGCTAATATAGGTAATGAGGGTTCCCAGATATTCAGGGGAGTAAAAGATACTACCAAATGCACTATCTATTCAACTAATAAACAATATACAAGATTAATGATCTATAAAACTCTAGAATTCTTCATTAGCAAAGCAGTCTTATTCAGTGTGCCAATTGCCAAAAGTGTCATATTTAACCCAAACACTCGTTAAAGAATTGAGAATTTATATTCTCATCAGATTACTTTCTGAATTTATTCCTTTTCAAAACCCCAAAATACTGCTATAAGTATATACATCCCACGAGTCCTTTCTTGTACAAAAATCACAATCTCCAATCATTTAGCTCTTCTTCTACTAAATGTAAGATATTGCTAGATTTAGATGGCTTCCTGCACACTGAAAAAACAAAAGAAAGAAAGAAAGAGGAACAAAACTCCATGCATAAAGTTTTTTCTAACAATTTTTTATGGTTAGAATTGTTCCCCAAGCTGCCTCCCTGGGGGAAAAGGGAATATCACACTTGTAGACATGACATGATTGAAACAATCATTCTGTTTCTGTTTCATTTCTGAAGTCCAAGAATAGTTGAACGAACTTAAGCATGCTTGGCTGAAATTAAGAATTCAGAGTTATGCTACTCTTAAGGTGAAGAAGCATTTTGAGAAAGATTAGATTTTGCTATGGTCTTTTATTGTATCAGATCCTTTTAGTTTTAATTACTCTTATTGCATGGCTAGATCCAGCGTTATGATTTCATCACATGGCATGTAAATGATGAAATGCAGCTGTGCTGTGGTTTTAATCCGTGTTTGTGATTTCTTAGAGTAGAAATCCTATGGTAAAAGAGAGGACAAACTGTATCAAAATTACTATTTTGAGAAATTGATTATATCATTCGATAGTAAAATTTCAAGCATTAAGTAAATGGTCTCTTTTGCTTGCAGTACTACTTTGAGCCTGTCTCAGGTCGCCGGTTCAGGTCTAAGAAAGATGTGCAATATTATTTGGAAACTGGAACTTTGAAGAAGAGGGGCAAAGTGACAGAGAACGTTGATGCTGATACTAATGTGAGAAAGAAATCTCTGTTCAGACAAAAGTATTGGCCCTTCCATTTATCTTTTAGCATCTTATTTTCCTCTGAACTAACTTGTATGATTTTGATAGTCTGCAGAGAATTCCAAGAGTAGTAAAAACAAGTCTCGTGCAAACACAAATTTTGCATGGAACTTTGATTCTTTTAATGTTCCTGATCGGACCGAATGGTTTCTTACAGAAGCAAACGAAGATACCTGGACTCCCTTCATTGATGGTAAAAAAGTTCCTCTATATGATAAGGAACA